TTTGTTTAAAAATCCAGATTCCCTTGAAATGCTGAAGGAACTGACCATTCTGGGCTTACCTCCCTGCCTAGGAAGGGCAGGCCAGAGCAGCAGCTGCCCTCTCTAGATGAACTCCCCACTTGGCCACGGTCCCCACTACTCCCCACTGTTTCCCCAACCCAGCCTGCTTTCTTCATTTACTCCTGTTGAAATCAGTGAGCATTCCTAAGGTGGTCTTCTAATCACTGTACAATATATACTCTAAGATTCAGCTCATTCTGGTGCTCAGTTGGAAGTTTTTTGTGTTTTGATTTTTTTACTTCTCTCATTTTTATCACCATAGTCCAAGAAAACTCTTAGAAAGCAAAGAATGTATCACATACTTTGTGTCTCTCATACCATTCAGCACAAGACTAGGTACAATGTAGATAATCAACTTTCGTTGAATTGATGCAGAAAGTAATGAGTAAACACATGCACCTCTGTGATCATCCTCCATACCTGCCCTTCTTCCTCAAAACTCTACATTTTTGCTACTAAGAAGATGGATGCATATGCAATAAAAAATAAAGCACCAAGGTCAATCATTGCATTTCTATTTCAATTTTCTATCAGGTTGAAATGGAAATGGAAACTCTAAATAAATGCAGAACTGATCATCATGTCTGGCAGCAAGATTAATTAGAAGCCCTGGGATACTGAGAAAGCCTGCAAATAAGATCACCAAACATTATCAGTGATCTTTGAGGGAATCGTAGAGAATAGGCCAGGCGCCAAAAAGCTGGAGTCAGGCAAATGTTCTAATTTTCAAACGGGGAAAAAAGTTATAGTTTGCCAGTTCCAGACTAGATAATGTGATGTCACTCCCAAGCAAGGTTCTTGAACATATTTGTTAAGGACACTTATGAGCACCGAGGACAGGAAGTAATGTTCATTTGGCACCAGCATGGGGTCACCAAGAACAAGTCATGTTAAATTTATTTCATTTTCTTCTCTCTGACAAGGCTCCCAGGCTAGTGTATGGAGAAACACAGCAGACATAATATACATGGTACACTGAGGGAGCAAGCAGCACAAAAAGCTAATTCAACCCTTGGGCTATATTAATAGAAATATTAATATAAGACAGTAGAACAGAGGTGATAGTTATCTTCTGTCTTTGGTCACATCTAGAGAATCATATTTAGAACTCAGTGCTGCTCTTGATATAGGATACTGAAGTACAATTTTTTGGAGGCCCTTTTGGCAAAACCTCTTTAAAAACATAAAGCTTTCATCCAGATTTCTGGCATCTGTTGAAAAATTGAAAAATCTGACTGGGCCTACATTCCTAAACCTAAATAGCAATAACTGGTTGAACCCAAGTAATGACTGTCCATTTAGACAGGACATGTACTCTGAGGTCCGTCATAATCATCACCAACCCCTCTTCTACTGCCTGCACTGAGGTGGTGGGCCAGCTGTCACAAATCTTTCATGTGGCCAGCTTCATTCATTTATTCTATCTGCCAAGCACCCAATGACATTGAGGTTTGCAACCCAGGATGCAGTAGAGCCAAAGGAGAGTGGAGATGGTAAGTGGTAGCGAACCATCTTATCATATGAGGATAATCATTGTCAGGGGCTATAATCCCAGGCTCCACACACCCCATGGGCAGTCCCAGGGAAGAGGCATCTGTCTTGCTCTATGAAGTCCAAAGGGGAAGGAACTATGGAACAATAAGTAAATGAGAGACATATTCAATGCAACATAAAAAAAAAATGCTTACAAGGGTCAGGTGCAGTGGTTCACACCTGTGATCCCAGCACTTTGGGAGGCCACGACGGGTAGATCACGTGAAGCCAGGAGTTTGAGACCAGCCTGGCCAACATGGTGAAACCCCATCTCTACTAAAAAATCAAAAATTGGCTGGGTGTGGTGGTGCACCCCTGTAATCCCAGCTACTCAGGAGGCTAAGGCTAGAGAATTGCTTGAACCTGGGAGGCGGAGGTTGCAGTGAGTCCAGATCATGTCACTGCACTGCAGCCTGGGCAACAGAGCAAGACTTAGTCTCAAAAGAAAAAAGAAAAAATTCTTACAAGAGCCAGAGATGTCTAAAGATGATAGACTATGTGGGCTTGGGAAGTGGTGAGTTCCCCATCACTAGAAACATACAAGCATATGGTTTACTACTGCTTCATAATCAAAGGGCTTCGAGTATCTGATGAGGTAAGAAGAGGCACAAATCTTTCTATTTTACAATAGAAAAAATACTGTTCTAAAACATTCCTTTTTGTTAGGTCTGTAAATTCTTGAAAAAGAGATAAAAGGGAGTAAGTCAACAAAGAACTCAGCACTGTTTTTAAAAATCAAAAGTTCCCTTCACAAAATTCACAAAGCAAAAAATCTATCTGACTAGGTGGACCGTTTGCATCCAACTGGCCAGATGATTCCCAGGGAGAAAGGTAATTGGCCTCGGGCACTGTTTTTGGTGACTGGTCAAATGTTCTTCAGAGGCATGCAACAAAGGCAATGGGATGAAAGTAAGAAGGTAAACAATGGAACTCCATCAAGAGGCTGCCAGTCCCCCCACAAAACTGCCATCTGCTGCTGACATCAATCCTTCAAGGGGCAGCTTTGGGCAAACAATGTATCAGGGAACACAAGCCTGGGAGAAAATCGGCCTCATGACCTTGGGCAAGTCATTTAACATTAACTGGGCCTCAGTTTCCTCATCTCTGAAACTGAGCTCACACTAACCCTACTGTACACTGTGTGGGCCAAGAGTCATGATGTCTGGGAATGAGCCATAGAAACTGCAGGGCCCTATACACACACCAAGAATTATGATGGTGATTGACACACAGAATTTTAAAAGAAAAGATTCCAGAGGGTTTCGGGTACAGCCATATCCTGACCTGAATCTTGTAGATGTCAATTCTAAAGGAATAAGATGTAACTCCTTTAACCAGAATCCAGAGAAAGGCAGTGTTTGGAGGAGACAAGATCATCTGGACACATTTCCTAATGAAATGCATGGTAATTGGTGCATTTCTGATGAAGCTCATGGTACTTGCTGATTAGTTGTTAAAATAAAAGATGAAAGGCCAAAAGCAAAAGGATCAGCCAGGGCAATTAATGCCTAACTGGCCCTGAAGAAAAGTTCACTGGCCCAGTAGCAGCAATCCTTCCAAAATGAGATAAGCACATTTGTTACCAAGAAAATGATTATAAAACCTGACCTGTCCAAAACTCAGCATCCCCTTCTCTTTCATGGCATTTTCCTGGCAACCTTAATTTTTACAAAATAATAATAATTGGCCAAATTCATTTTATAAGACATAAACTCCCTAAAAAGAGTCTATTCAAATATTGAAACTAGGCTTTGGTGTTGAGCAGTTGGGTGACTTCAAATCTCTGACCAATAAAGAGCTTATTTCTAAATTTACAGCAAGGCTGAGACATCATAAGTCGCTGTTTTCCACACTGAACTGAAAAACCAAAGACAGGAAACCAGGAAAATGCAGGGTTTTCTGCTCCTCTTGCCCTCGGGTCTGCTCAGAAGCGATGGGCACACTGGGTTTGACCAGGACTAAAAGGCAAAAAGACTGTTGGTGAGACTGGGGAAAAAAAAAAAAAAAAAAAACAGAGCCTTCCCACAGTGGCTGCTCCACTCCCAAAGTTTCCCAAGCATCAGAAGCGTGTATGGCAGCTGTGGTGCCCAGCCTTCCCGCTGCTTTTAAGGAGGCCACCCGGCTCCCTGGGTCATTGGGTCTTCAGCTGCGGCAGCACCCAGAGCAGGTGTGGCAACCTCAGGTCGCTTGAGCTCCAAATACCCAACTTGCTCAACAGTCTGTGCATAAGCTCAAAGATAGGCCTTGATGTCCACTGAAGAAGTATTTTGTCTTTACTCTTTCTAGGAGAGGCCACAACACACCCTGTGTCGCAGCAAGGAGAATCATGACCAGAAAGAAAACGGACACCAAGAGGCACAGGCCCAGGCTCCCCACAAGGCGCACCCTCAGAGAAAAGGGGAGCACAGTGGATGGAGCTTTTAGATTTTCCTTGCCAAAGCTGAGCCTAGAACAGGTATGGGTGGGAGAAGCCCCAGTCTGGCCTGAATGAGGACCAGCAAGCCTGCATTTAGCCATACAATTGTGTTCCCTTTCCTATTTCGCCTGGCCAGTGTGGATTTAGGGAGCGGCTTCTGAAAAAAGTATACACCCGGTGGCACAGAAGCTGCAACCAGCAGCCAGAGGTCATCTCGCCCTCCCGGCAGGCTTCTCCTGGAACCCCGGAAGCCAGGCAGCGCCAACCAGCCCAAACGGCATGCTGAGATGTTGGCTTTGAATGAAAGCTGATGACCCTAAACACCAGGGCACAGAGTGATTGGGCTGCACACCGCGAGATAATACATTTTCTTCACCGAGCTTCCTCTTTATGCCTAAATGCCTGCATTAGTCTGGATCAATATGCCTCATAACAGTTAATCCATGGCAACCCAAGCCAGCCCAGAGACACCGACAAAGAAGTGCCGCCCAGGGATGCTGCCTCGCTGTGCACATGCATGTGAATTCCAGCCCAGAGAAAGAGGCGGAGGCAAAACCACCACCACCAACAGAAACCAAAAAGGGGGAGGGAAAAAGAGCAGATGGTAAGAAATATACCCCAATATTAAAGGGCTTTTACCGTGGCGGGGAAGGGGTAGAGGTAGTGACTGTCAAAATGGCCTTAGAGTGACATGTCACCGCCAAGATGATGGAGTACCGGCGACACTCCTAAAGTCAGGCGTAGGATCCTCCTCACACACCTGCAATGCAGAGACTGCTGCCCATTCCATAATCCACACTCCCAGCCCCAGCGCTATCTGCAGTTGAAACCAGTCCGGACTTGTGCGGCTGCCACTGTTCCTCCTCACAAAAAGATTATTGATGCATAACATTTCATAATGGCAGAGAGGAAAATTGGGAGGGGTGGGGGGACCAGAGCAAGAGAAAAACAAAAGGGGAGGAGAAAAAAACTCTCCCAGCCAGCATCTCACCTTTTATTTGGGCTTCATATTCAGCAATGATCTCTTTGTCTTTCTTGAACTTAGTTTGAGATGACATCTTCCGATGTGGCCAAAGGAACTGACAGGCTGATTTATTTCTCCTTTTCTTTTCGAGTCCTCTCTCAAGCCCTGGTAATCACACAGCTCTGGTCGATTTCACAGGTTTAGGGACTAATCTCTTTCACTTGGCTGCAGAGCAGGGAGAAAAATCCTTCTCCTTCTGGGAGGAAAAATCTCTTTACTTGCCGAGAAATGGCTCTAGTAGCTTGCTGTGGTCAGCTCCTCTTGCAAAAGAAGAATCACCCTAGGAGCACAGTAACCTGCCCCAGATTTTCAAAGATGTTTCTTCCAAAAATAATAATAATAGCCAAGAGCACTCACACACACATGCAAACATACACACACACTCACGCGTGCACACGCACACTCACCCGGACACACACACAATTGTGATGTGCACACAGGCATACACACACACCCTCACACGCACACACACTCGCTGGATCACTCACACACACACATCCACGAGAGGCGCGGCGCCTCCTTGGTCGTGCAGCCAGCCCCTGGCTCGCTTTTGAAGGCTCTGCTAAGTCGATGGTCAGGTTGCCAAAGGGCCAGTCATCTCGCATCCTCCCTCCCTTCGGTGCCTCTGGTCTGCTGTCCAGTGAGGATCAAAGCCAGGAGAGCGAGATGGAAGTTTTCCTGCTGCAACGCTTAAGCTCCGGTGAGCCCAGGGCTGGACTGCTCGCCCTGCAGGGCTGGCTGAGCTCTCCCCCACCGCCTACGTCACTAGACTCCGCCTCCCGGATTTTATAACAACTGACACATTGTAGCCTACAGGAGAGCAGAACTCACTGCAAGCAAAAAGGGGAAGAAACACTCACAAAAGGGAAGGCAGCAGGAAAAATAATCGGGTTAGTGAGGCTTGAGAGGCTTCTGCAAACTCCAAACATTAGCACTTGGGTTAGGGATTTTTCTTCCAAAAACTAAAGATCCTCCTCCCCGCCCCCCTTTTTTTTTGCACTGTGCAATTTAATTCAATTTCTGGAATCAACGGCTATATGATGGTTTGTCACTCTGCTGGGAGAGTCTAGCAGAGGGCCTGACCCATGTAGGGAAAAGCTTCAATATTTGTTGAGCAGTTACTTGGTGGCGGGGGCAATGCCAGGAGTTAAAGGCATGCAGCTTAGCAAAGCCATGCAGAGCAGGCAGGCTGGAGGCAGAACAGCTGGGTCATTGGCTTGTGGGGCTCTGGGCAAATTCATAAGTCAGTTTCCTAGACAGTAAAATCAACTCTCTTTGGATGCTCTGTTATTCATTCTTTCAACAGATATTTACTGAATGCTTACTATAGTTCTGGCACCATTCTGGGTACAGAGATACAGCAATGATCAGAACTGGCACACACACAAATCCCTGACCTCCTGAAGTTCCCAGGGCTCCACATCACACAATTCCAGGAGTTTCCACCATTCATGCTAATATTCTTAGTAAAAGCACTCTTGGAGTAGAATCCATTGTGAATGGTGCCCCCTGGAGTTGTAGGAGGAAAGAGGCCCTGGGAGAGGAAGTAAAAAAATAAGCATAATCAGTATATTATATAATATCATACAAAATGTTAAGTGCTATGGGAAAAACAATATTGCGCAATAAGGGATATCAGGAATGAGAGGAGCTCTTGAGAAGATCTAAGAATGCAAAGCTAAGCTTAGCACAGTGTCTGGTGCATAGTAAGCACTCAATAAACGGCAGCAATTGTTATTACCCTTTTATAACTCCCAACAACTAAGCAATGTAGGTGTAAGCACCACTTTTTCACAGACAGAGGAGCAAAGGCTCAGATATAGGAAGTGACCTACCCAAGGTCACCAGCCTTCCCACCCAGGCTGTCTTACACCACACTTTGCTCAAAGTCTCCCGCATTCTACAAGGAAGACCAAACCCATTTCATGTGGAGTTAAAGTAGAATAAGATTTCTTCTGTAAAAATTGAATCAAGCACTAGAGAGTCAAGGAATTTCATATGCTAAGATAGTCACTAACATGTATTGGTCCCTGCATGTCTCCTGAGAGAAATGTTCCCAAATTTCTCAAAATATAGTCTTCTATTTGCCTTTTTCTGAGTATATAAAAAATGATTTGGTTTGGACTCAGAAATGAATAGATTATCCAGGTTAGCCCATCGAGGTGTCCTAGAGGAAGTAGCAGGTGCAGTGGGTGTTCCCAGGCAGGCATGGCAAGGGGAGTGAGATGGGGCAGGATGTTCTCCTGGAGCACACAGAGTGAGCTGGGGCCCACAGGTGGCAAAGCACAAGACCTGCTTGGAGCAACCACAGGAAGAAGTCCAACTGGTGAATCATGGAATTTATTATAGCCTCATGCCAGGAGACAGGAGGTCACGGAGTTCAGAAATAGATGCCACTGGCCCGCAGCCCTTGCCATCATCCCACTGCCTCACGCCTCCCCTGGACACATCCAGGCCCTTTGCTGTCCTTTTCTAACTAGTTTAAACCCGCAAAAGCCCCACGTTACGTGAGAAAGATAGGCACAGAGATTAGCATCCCTGCCACAAGCCTAGATTTTTCAAGAAAAATGAGCTACGCCTTGGAGTGCAACAGACTGGATTCTTTCCTGGCTCTGCCACGAGCCTTGAGCTCGTGAGAACTTGCGCAAGTGGCTCAACCTGCTTGTGTGCCCACTGGTGGCAGGAACTCGGTAAATGTCAGCTATTTTCACCATTATTAAAATTTAAAAATCCACAAATAGTACTAGGATACCCATATGTAGGGTGCTGAGCCACAGAAATGTCACAAGAATGTCAAAAAGCCATACAAAACCAATGCCAAAGATAGCAGAGCACTCTGAGCTGACACCTGGCAGAGGCTGGGTTTTGGACTAAGTCAGATAGCGGTTTACCTTCTGGCTCTGCTGTGCACCAGCTGTGTGTGGGGCTCATGGAGAAATATACCTTCTTTGAGTCTTGGTTTCCTCATCTGTCATATGATAGTGATCCACCCATGGCACAGGATCCAACATGATCATAGATTTAAAGTACCTGGCATAGAACAGAAGTCTCACAGACATAATTTCTTTTTTAGGGCTGTTGAAATGTGATCTTCAATGTTGGAGGTGGGATCTGGTGGGCAGTGTTTGGGTCATGGAGACGGACTCCTCAGGAATGGCTTGGTGCCCACCTCCACAGTAATGGGTTCATAAGAGATCTGGTTGTTGGAGGGTCTGGGACCTTGCCCCTCTTCCTTGCTCCCTCTCTCACCATGTGATATGCCTGCACCTTCCACTATGATTGGAAGCTTCCTGAGGCCTCACCAGAAGCCAAGCAGATGCTGGTGCTGTTTATATAGGCTGCAGAACCATGAGTCAATTAAAACTCTACTTTTTTTTTTTTCTCAAGATGGGGTCTCACCATGTTGGGCCAGCTGGTCTCAAAGTCCTGGTCTCAGGCAATTCTCCCTCCTCAATCTCCCAAAGTGCTACGATTGCAGCGTGAGCCACCACACTCAGCCAAATAAAGCTTTTCTCCTTAATTACCCAACCCCAGGTATTCCTCTACAGCAATGCAAAATGGGCTAATACAGGGCCCAACCAAGCTAGACCTAGGAATGGAGCTTGGGCTCCACAGATACCCAGATGGGGAATAGGAAGAGAGGAAAGAAAAAGAGGAAAACATCTGTGCTCCCTGAAAATCTATCACCACACACAATGAACCCACATCAGACCTGGGCAGGCCTCCAGCACCAGGTTCTCACCCTTCCAGTCCTCCCCACAGCCTACCCCAGCCCTCCCGCTGCCCCCCTGTGACTCCTCCTCTGAGAGTCCACTTTTTCCTTCTTGTCTGAGAACCAACTGCTATTCCCAGTGTTTACCCTTCACATGGTATTAACAGAAACCAGGTTTGTCTCCAAACAAATGTGGATGTGTGAGGGGAGGGCTTCTACCATGTGATTTGATCTATGCCACCCAGCAAGGACCAGAAAAGCCCCTGGAAGGGTTTATTCCATTTCCTTGGGGCTCATGTCTGAATTCTTTTAGATATTTCTGAATTATACTGATAACTAATATTTAACAAGTTCTCCCTCGACACAGGCACAGGGCCAAGCACTCTATGTAGATTTTATTACTGATTTTTTGCTACAGCCCCATGAGTCCAGTGCTGTAAATCATCCTTGTTTTCAAGTTGGGTGAACAGAGGCCCAGAGCAGTGAAGCAAGTTATCCAAGATCACACAGCTAGCTAGTAACTTAATTACATCAAAGCCCAGGTCTGGCTCATATCAGAGCCTAAGGACTTAACCAGTGCACAATTCTATCCCGGAGGAATCGTCATAGGAATAATTGCTATCAAGTATTAACCTATTTTTTCATTCCCTATAATTACATTTTTTCAATACAGAGTTCAACACAAAGTTTTCCTTTTAAAAAAAGAATCTGGGGTTGAAAATATAAGGAAAACATGTCACAAATGACCGCCGGTGAGGCTTAACTTACAATAACAGCCGAATAATGCAAAACCCACTGAATTGGTTTCTTTTCCTGGTAGAAAGAAAAGGCTTCATTTGTAGGAAAAGTGGTCAGAATAGTTTTTGGTTTAAGGTACTTTTATTTTTCTGGTCAAATATGAACACCTCCCCCTTGCTGAGATGACTAATTTTGTGACATTCTCCATGTTGCTACCAGTGAATGCATCCTTGGCCAGCTCAGTGAATAATTCTGCCCTTCAAGCCCTGCTCTGCAAAACAAAAGCAACAAGCAGAACTCAGCTAGTTGATGCCAGAATTTAGTAGAATTAATAGTGATGATGACAACATGCTTCGTGTGTATATATTGCTTTATATTTTGTAAGACTCTTTTATATCATTTGTCTTATGTGGTCCTCACAATAATCCTGGGAGGGAAGGGAATGGCAAGTAGGGCTGTTTTCAATCCCTGTTTCCTTGGTAAGGAAATAAATAGATAAGCAGAGGTTTTGATAGTACAATTGTTTTATAACCTCAAGCATAAGGATGACCTTTCCAACTGTGTTGCGAAACCCATTAGTTGAAAAAGCTGACAAATTCAACTATAGAACAATACTTTCAAAATTCTGCTTGACAAAAGCAAAGTCAAAGACCAATGGCAAACTGAAAAACAATATTTGCAACACCCATCATAGGGCAAGAAATTTTCTAATATCAATTCAAACAAACACTTAAACGTGAATATTCATAGGAGCACAATTCACAACAACCAAAAGATAGAAACAACCCAAATTTCCACCAGTGGATGAATGGATAAACAAAACATGGTATATCCATTCGATGGAATATTATTCAGCCATAAAGAGAAACGAAGTACCAATACATGCCAGAGTAAGAAGGATCCTTAAAAATATTATGCTAAGTCAAAGAAATACACAGATTATATAAGTCCTTTTTATGAAATATCCAGAATAGATAAATCCATAGAAAATTCCATCGCTATGGTCACAGATGAGTGGTCACTAGGGGCTAGAAAGAGTGAGGGAACAGGCAGTAGCTGCTTAATAGAAAGCACCAAGTTTCTTTAGTGATCATTAAAATGTTTTGGGGTTGGGCGTGGTGGCTCACACCTGTAATCCCAGTACTTTGGGAAGCCAAGGCAGGAGGATCGCTTGAGCTCAGGAGTTTGAGACCAGCCTAGGCACCACAGTGAGACCTCTTCTCTACCAAAAAATAAACAAAAATTAGCCGAGTGCAGTTGGTCCCTGCTACTTGGGATGCTGAGGTAGGAGAATCACTTGAGCCCAAGAGGTGGA